CTGAGGCTCCAATACTTTGGCCCTCTCATGAGAAGAGCAGACTCCTTGGAAAAGACCCTGATGTTGGGAAAGTGTGAAGGCAAGAGGAGAAGGGGACGACAGAGGACGAGATGGTTGGCCAGAGTCACTGAAGCGACCAACATGAATTTGACCCAACTCTGGGAGGCAGTGGAAGAACATGAGGGCCTGGTGTGCTCTGGTCCATGGGGTCACAAAGAGTCGGACACAATTAAACGACTAAACAAGAACAATGTATATAATATTTTAAAACTGTTCATTTTATAGTTTTATTTGTTGCAAAGTGCTCAGAAGAATATCCCTTGGATGATCACTTTTCGTTTTCACAGCCCTGTGAAGCTCCTTTTTGTTCATTAGTGTTCAGTCTTCCTTCTCTGACCTACTACTCATTGACACATCAAAGCAGCAGAATAAGGACCAAACAGAACAGGAAAACAACCCCCCCCCAAAAAAAACACCACCACTGTTTCTTTACAGATACTCTGGTGTCATTATTTAAAGTTCAGTTTTAAGGGCATAAAATGATGGGAGAAGGCATGTCACCCTTTAAGGATGTGGTGAGGATTTCAAGAGACCGATTTCGCTGCAACCGTTTGCAAAATCCTTCTCCTCTTAGAATCGCAGAGCAGGAAGGGACCCTATGGATCAGGGAATCCAGCCCCCGTCAAGGAGGCCCAGCGCAGGATTCGAACTCCCCACCTCCGGCTCCTCAGCCAGAGACCTCAACCATGGAGTTCTCCAGCCGTTCTCCGGCATCCCACCAGATTAATTCCGCATCTGGGCAGTGAGACACGTGTCGCACGTGGATGCCCACTGGTTTAAACTGGAAGTGCGTCTATAACTGCCTGATGACAGCCCTCTGATTGCTGCTTTACCTGCCATGATTCCGTCCTATGGAGTTTTAGGATTTGCTGTTTAGCAAAGGAGGATTTATTCTTTACTGCCAATCCAGAAAAGCAGCTTCAAGTTTCTTAGCAGGGCTCCAGAGTCCCTCATCCAACTACAAATCCCATAATTCCAGTGGAGGGAGCCAGGTAAAGTTGAATCACCTGCACTGCTGTGGCTGCGTAGCACAGATATTCTTCAAGATGCTGCAGTTGACTTGAAATCAGAGAGGAAAGTTTTTTGGGGGATGCTAAGTTGCCTCCATCAACAAGGCAGCCTGCAGAAGACTTGACTTCCCACCTCACCCAGTAGCTCTACTGGTCCGTTCCGATCTTTCTCCGTGCGGGAAAGGCTTACTCACCTGTGAGGTCAGGAGGAGAGACCCTTGGGGGCTGCAAAGGGAGCAGCCAAGACAGGCGCGGTTCTTCCAAGGGGAATCAAACAGACCTTGGCGTTTTCGCCCGGGCACCACGACTGGACCGACGCTGGCTCTTCGGAAGGAATACGGGCAATGCCTCCTTCGGCTCATCCTGGACAAAGATATAAATAGGGGAGCATCCTTCCTCGGAGCCCAATAAAACCGGCTTTTGTTTCTCTGCTTGACGTTAGCTGCAGCTGCCCATGAATGGCGTGTTTTTGTGCTTGGGGTGACGGCCCCCCCCTCCACACACACACCAAGGGAGAGAGAGATAAGGGAGGGTTGTGAAGATGGAGATAAAGAGATTTCACCCAAGGGACCGCTTCGAAGGCAAGTGTCCATCTGGAAGCCCAGTTGGAGCTGGGCAGGAGTCAATCCAGTGGACAGAGGGCCTCACAAATGTGCGCCAAGACATTTATGGCACCGCCGTTGGGTTCATCATTCATGCCATGATGCTCCCCGCCAGGGGTCGGAAGCTTAGGAACACATTATTTTTCAGAAAGCAACCCATTCTGTGCCTTTCAGACAGCCTAAGGATCACGGGGTGGCCCATGCTCTGTTTTGCCAAAGTACTTTGTGGTGTTAGGTGTGATTAAGAGTGTTGCGGTGCCCAGCTCTGCCGTTAGACCAGTTCAAACGAGGGCCTCAGGCCGCAAAGGACTGGAGGCGCTGCCCCATCGCTTGCCGGCTGGGACCACTGAAGTTAAGAGACCTCTTGCAACACACCCCCTGGCTGCCTGGTTCGAAGAGCTGGGAATTGTAGTCTGAAAAAATAACTTTTCCAAGCTAAGGTGAACCAATGCATGAAAGCTTGAATTTTAATCCCCACCTGCCCCCACCCCATTTGGAAAGCACCTCACAACAGGGTTTTTGGGCACAAAGCAGGGGGAGCGATGTCCACCACATCTTTTTCCCTCTCATCAGATTTTTATCTCATTCTTGACATAAAGTTGGAACAAGAGAAGTGTTGGGCTGGGACTTGCGGACAGATCCTTGGACTAGGGATCCCAGAGAGAGCTGGGTTCAAATCCAGAAACGTGGCCACAGAACCACCACCTCCAACGGTTGGTTATCTACACAACATCTCACATAGGCTGACAATCTAGTCAGGGTCCCTGCAAGTAGGAAGTGACTCAAAAAGCACACTTCTTATCTGGGTAGTGATTGAACAGGTCAACGTTTGGCCCAGAACCTGTGGAAATGGGGCCCTTTCTCCTCAACGGAAAACCAAGGTGGGACTGCCTGCGTGTCGTGCGCATCAGTGCCTTCAACCTCAATGACCCCAAGGAGCAAACCCTGGATTCCCCCCCCCCAACTTCCTGCCCTAGAAGGGCAGCACATGAATTGTTAGAGCAAGCCAGCGAGCGGCCTTGCACAGTCCTTATTCCAACGGGCTTCTCGGGGACATCCCTGGGGCTGCTTCGCTGGACCATCAGGATGCTGGGCTCAGCTGAGAACGAAGGAGACTAATTAAAGCTCCTGGCCTTTCCGGAAAATTCCCTGCAAGCGCTTCATTCACACCTCCAGCGTTGCAGAAGGGGAGGTGGGAGGAGGGCCAAACGAGGCGGAGAGGGGAAAAGAGGGTGGTCCCCCTCCAACGGCAAGGTTACTACTGCTAAAGAGACCTAGCCCTCAACAGGGAAAAAACAGGTGCTCCCTGCTGGACTTCAAAGACCTTTGGCCTGTTCCAAACGGACCCGTTACCTCTGGAATGAAATCAGGATGGTTTGTACGAAGACGACGCGCCCTTGTCAAGGGGTCACAAGTCCTCTCTATGTATACATGAGAAATGTAGACACATTTGTGTTGCGGATGGGTATGGGGGCGTCTACGGCCAGAGAATCAGGGCCACGTAGAGCTGGGAAGGAGCGTGAGAGTCATTTCGTCCTTGCCATACCGGTCCATTTCTTCCTAACCGACCCCGTGGAGCCACAGAGAACAGACTCGCTCCGTCTTCCACGTGGCAGCCCTCCGGGCACGAAGGTCTCCTCTTGCTTCCAAACTTCTCTTTCCTCCACGCTCAACACGCCCACATTCACCATTCCTCGTGGGGCCTGGTGTCCAGACCCCTTTCCTGGATTTCTCGCTCTGCTCCAGCTCATCCCAGAGAAAGCCCACAAGCAAGACACAAATACAACCCCACATTTACCCCCTTCCTTCCCCACCCCCAGTGGCAATCTTGTCTTTTTGTTCAGCTGCCAGGAAGTTATTTTAGACCAATTCAAACCAGCTGACATGACTCTCTCCCACCCCTCTCCATTTTCTGGCAGGTGTCTTGCCTCTCTCGGTCCAAAGGAGAAGCTGCACAATTGTCCAGCGGTGGTGTTGACGGTGATATCTCCAGTGGGGTGTGGTACAGTAGAAACTCCCTACCAGCGGGAGATCGGTTCCAACAAACACACACGGAAATGCAGAAAAATGTGGATGATAGCAAACACTCTAATAGTGAACACTAGACACAGCATGGTTTCTGTCTCCCTCTAGTGGTCAGTTCTGATAACGTTGTCTTTTAAAAGACTGTATATATTTCTAGAATTTTCTTTTAATATTTGTAGACCGTGAATAAGTGAGTCCGGAGATACTGATTCAGCAGATAAGGGCCCCCCTACTATATATGCTGGAGGAGGCTCTTGAGAGTCTCTTGGACTGCAAGGAGAACAAACCTATCCGTTCTGAAGGAAATCAACCCTGAGTGCTCCCTGGAAGGACAGATCCTGAAGCTGAGGCTCCAGTACTTTGCCCATCTCATGAGAAGAGAAGACTCCCTGGAAAAGACCCTGATGTTGGGAAAGTGTGATGGCAAGAGGAGAAGGGGACGACAGAGGATGAGATGGCTGGACAGGGTCATCGAAGCTACCAACATGAATTTGACCCAACTCCGGGAGGCCGTGGAAGACAGGAGGGCCTGGCGTGGTCTGGTCCATGGGGTCACGAAGAGTCGGACACGACTGAACAACTAAACAACAATTAGATGCCATTACAATGTGATAATTCCCCTCAAGTGAGCACCTGTGCTGTCCTCCAAATAAGTTTTCTATTTTTAAAAAATTGCTTGTCAAATTTAGCACTTTATCAGATAAGCACTACACTGCTAAGACTGCCTTGTTAGTCACTAAGCCTCCTTCGTTTCAGTCACTGCATTTTGGGCTCATCCCTCACTCCAAGCTTCCACATATCTGGGCTGGATATCGGTATTTTTGGAAGGATAACCCCCTCCCCCTCCTCCTTGCCCTGATCTGAAAGCCTGCTGAGATCCAGATCGAATTGACAAAGATAGTCAGTTTCATAAGACACAAAAAGTTGCATTAAGTTGATAATCTGTTAAACCACTTGAGTGCTATGTCACTTCAATAAAAAAAAACAACCTGCCCAAGCACAGCAGGAAACTCCCCTCTCCTATAGCTTGTATTGCTATTGTATTGTTTATTGTGAATTTCTGTCCTGTTTGTTTGCTGCCCAGAACAGTCGGTTGCCTCCACATTTTTCCTCATCTCCCTTGTCGGATGTTCCTGCAACAACCGCAGCATCTCCCAAAGTTACATTTTGGAACTTCCTGTGGCTTTGCCAGTGGTGAATTCTAAAAAACTCACCTGCCACGCTCCGTGTGAGCTAGCCACGCAGACCCTTAAAAGTGTGCGAGTTGACAAAAGACCCAAGAATCACGAGAACGACACGGTGCGAGAACTTCACAACATCCATATTTAAATAAGTTCAGCTAACAATCGCTGGACCGAGGAAAGGAAGAGCGAAAACAACCAGGAGAGGGGGATCCTGCGTCGGCGTGTGTCACAGTGTCTAAAGGGATGGCCCAGCCAAAACGGGGAGCATTTTGCCAGTTTTGTTTCCTCGCAAACATGCCCATTGCCCCCCCCGCCCCGGCCCGCCGGCCCCCTCACAACGGGAGAAAAAGAGGGTCAAAAAAGGGGGACACATATTTACAAAGAAAAACAAAGTTAAAGAAACCCAGTCCAGCTTTAGTTTCTTGAGAGACACCAGGCCTCCCTTCACGGAGTCCATTGCATTAATTAGGTGGGTCGAAGGAGGTCAGTTCCCTGAAACTCACAAAAGAACCATTGCATCCAAAGGTGGTGAGCCATCGGGCCACGGAGACCACCGGTTCCAGCTTGCAGAACCCACCACCTAGCCATCCAACCCCCCTGGACGCCCCTTCAGTCCATTCGAATCTTGACTTCTCGGTGGTCCAGGGGCGTCACGACCTCGTTGGCGTAGCCGTTCTCGGAGCATAGAGAAAGTTCGTCCGTCATCTCGGCGCCGCTGTTGATTTCTGGAAGGCACAAAAGGGGGGGGGGAGGCCATTGCTGAAGTGTGGGGGAATCAATGGGGGGAGGAATGGAGGAGACACCCCCAAATCCAACGAGAGCGACAAGAAGTGCAAAAGAATGTTGCCTTTATGAGGATCTAAGCTGCCTCAAGTCCTGTTTTCTTTAAACAGAGAGGCGAGATAAAACGTATTTTAAAGAAATACATAAATAAAATAAATCGGTATGATGCCACTCTTGATGATGTTTAATGCAAGTTCAATGGATAATGTGCATAAACCTTTAAAAAAAAAACAACCCTGAGTGCTCACTGGAAGGACAGCTGACAGCTGAAAGTTGACAGGGGAAAAAACCGAAATGTGGTGCTTGAGAAGATGAGCTTTATTATGGATACCCTGGATTGACAGAAAGGTGAACCAGTGGGTCCTAAATCAAATTAAGCCTGAACTCTCTCTGGAGGCAAAAATGTTGAAACTGGGGCTATTTCCTATGTAGGCACCTCCTGATTCTCTGGGAAAAGACAATAATGCTGGGTTATATGGGCACCTCCTGAGAAGGAAGGATTCTCCGGGAAAAGACAATAATGCTGGGAAAAGCTGAAAGCAGCAGGAAAAGAGGAAGACCAGATACGAGATGGACTAACTAAAGGAAGCCACAGGCTTCAGTCTGCAAGAGCTGAGCAGGGCTGTGAAGGATGGGACATTTTGGAGATGGCTCATTCATAGGTTTGCTATAAGCCGAAAGCGACACGACAGCACATCACAAGAACAGAGAACGAGCAGGCCTGTATTTTTTTAAATATTGACATCCTGGCCTTTCTGTGAATCGCACCTGCAAAATGCCCAGCCAATGTGCGTAACGTCCAAGCAGGAATGGGGATCATGCAGAATTGGATAACACTGACTGAGTATACCAGTCACTGCTCAGTCCCTGCTCACATTCCCCACCCGGGACCTATCCACGCTGAGAACAAATGGAGCAAACCCTCATTTTTACTCTCGTCGCAGGTTCACGACCTCCAATCAATGCATCCCACAGCCAAGTTTTATGCACGTTCCCCCTGCAACTTGCATTAACGCTGATGCACACCAATGTGAAGATCAAGTCAAATGGCGGTGACACTGACATGGAATTTAGGTCCATCTGGAACAAAGCTGTGCCGCCACCCAATAAGAGCTGGAGAAGAAAGCTTGACGATTTGTGGTCCAGGGGGCACCACGGTTTGTGCGCCCTAAACAACCCCGGGGATACAGGATGCATGAGTGGCATTTTTGCTTCCTCTTTCCCATGGGTTTGCTTAGAAGGCCCCAAAGCTGCATCAATCAATCAATCAGTCAATCAGTCAATCAATCAATTAATTAACTTCTTTGATTTTTATACTGCCCATCTGGCTACCCGTGTGTGCGTGTGTGTGTGTGTGTGTGTGTGTGTGTGTGTGTGTGTGTGTATGTGTGTGTGTGTGTGTGTGAGAAGAATGTCTAGGAATAGAGGTCCCTTTGGATATCTGGTGAGCTTAAGATGATGCCTTCGAGCCTCCACCAAAGGTCTTCCCATTTTACTAACTGGGCAACTCTGAACAATGGCTACTCCCACACACTAGGTGGCGACAGAGGGCAGGATGGCGTTCCACAAGGCACTCTCTGGCATGCCATCTTTATTGTTCTGGGACTTCAAAAACGGTCCACTGACTCTACCGTTCGGTCCAGCCTTACACCAAGAGCCCTCATGGCCTCCCGAACCCAGTGAAAGGCCAGAATCAGCTGTGCAGGAAGAGGCCCAACCCCAAACAACGGGCAGGTGGGATGAAAAGGATGCAGAGGATGAAAAGCAGCCTGGGGTGAGTGGAGAGGCTTTTAAAAGCGGCAAAGCAAGCTGAAAATCCACCCGAGAGACTGAGATAGGCAGGGCTCCCTGCAACCCTCCACCAGTGTGCATTAAGGCGTCAACAAATAGTCATTCTTACCTCGCAGGGTTAAAGAAAACAAAATGGCAATGGCACTGGTGCCACCTAGTGGCTAGAACCTGCAAGACATGGTTTCAACACATTTTCAAGTTTTCGAAGGGGGCGAAATGAGGCCAGCAGGCACGTTTTCCTTCCCTCTTTTCAAAAGCACAAAACCACTCTGTCGGAAAACTTACTTGTTTATTTCTAAAGTTACAGGCTAAAACGAATTTTCTTTTTTTTTTAAGCTGCTATGATTTTTTTTCACTGTTTTCATTTACTTGATAATATGTTTTACCGACATCTTACCAGAACATAAGCAAACCTTAAACGCCTTGTCATAATATAAATATAAATCCTAATGCACGCTCTTTGCATTTTTACCCCTCTTACTGCTAGCCCTGTGGGCAGGTGGAATTGCAGGTTATTAATTTGAGAAATGAAATCAAAAAAGCACACAGAGCACAGGAAGGCAAAACAGGAAAGTGCTTCACAGCACATCAAAAGGCAACAAATATATTAAAAACTCTGACGTTAGCATTTCATGCGCATTAACAATGCCTGCAGTAAAGGACTGTCTGAGATCCTATACATTCTCTAACATGTAGGACCCACATGTGTTGAGGGGAGAACGTCGGCCCTGCTTTCTAGGGATGGGACTTATAGATTTCTTGGACTACAAATCCCACGGTTCCCCATTCTGGCAGTTCTCCTTGACTTTCACACATCTGGGAGAAAAAGGCCTCCACCAAAGCTAGGCCTAGTTCCACTCAAACTTCCTGTTGAGAGAGAAATCTCCCAGCAAGCCCTGGGGCAGGAACAGGAAGCTTGGCCAGAGCTAGGCCTAGCTAAGCCTTCAAGCCTCCCAGGTTGAGGTCTTGTCTGCACAAGACCTCACATTTAGATGTCCAGAGAGTCAAGGCGGAATGGGGAATGATGGGATTTGTAGTCAGAGACGTTTAAAAGAAATCCCGTTTCTACTGCCATTACGAACCCTCTGAAGAAACAAAGATTTGCTTTGCCCGCTAGTCGCTCTCCATGAGCCAAAGCCCCCGTTTGGTGGGGCACGTCCCCCATGCAGAGTCCGTTTGGAGAGAACAGTCGCATTTCCACGGTTAAAAGAAATGATGGAGAAATGGAAAGCGGCCACAGGCCCCTGCAACTTGGGCAGGCTACACACAAAAGGGACCGGAGAGGACTTAATCTGTCTGCATCTCAATGCAAGCTGCTCCAGGGGGGCCTTCTAGCTAAGGAGCAAGACAGAAAGGATTTAAATGATATTAGCAAGTAATAATAACAACCCTAACGATATTGCTCTAACGGGCTGTTTTTTAAATTTACCGGTGACATCTATAGCCCAGCTTTCCTCCCATGAACAGAAGTGGCCCTCTTCCTTCCTGCTCCATCTTTTACCCTCACAATGCCCTTACGAGGTAGGCCTGCCAATTTGTCCGGTGAAAGCACTGGCTGTTCCGTTATACTTTTGGTCGTCTGTAACAAACTCTTTGGCTCTTTTTGCAGAAAGAGATGGATTGCCGAAAGGGACAAAGACAGCTGCCACTCTCTCCCTGGACGTTCTAGCGCGTACCGATAAACTCAACAACAACAACAAAACATATTTTGTCCCAGAAGAGAAGGAAAGGCAGAGTTAAGAAATGGCAAAAGAGGTCAGCAAGTCAAGGAATCAATCAATCAATCAATCAATCAATGCACGACACGGACAATCCTGTTCGGGCATCCTGGCAGCATCCAGATGCATCGTCCTCTTACCTGAAAATATCAGCTTCTCTTTCATGATGTTGACGTCCCGACTGGACCTGCGGACGGCCGCGCTGAGCATAATCTGCTCCGGATTGTAGCTCCGGATGTTCCCCAGCCGCCACCTGCAACGGAGGCACAGAATGTCAAAGATCAATCCTTCCACAGCCCCGACCCTCTTTTCGCCCTGAACGGCTCCTCCGTTCATCCAGCAGCCGCCCCGATGTGTCTTTTCTCTGTGGGTTCACATGTGCAAAGGGTACGGCTGGTCCTTCCCCCCTCTCCTGGTCTCTACGCTCCTCATTCAACCATGCTCCATCCGACACACACCCAAACAGCCCACAGAATCCAGATCCACAGGAAGGATTCAGTGCTAATTTTCTCATGCCATATACTGTTCCCACGGCCTCATAAAGCTACACCCAGATGGAGCTGGCAAAGCAACCCATTGAAGGAGGAGATGTACTACTCTGTGGACTTAAGAATATGCATAAGAGGCCTGTGGGATCAGATTACAGGCTCTGCTCGTCCAGCATCGCCTGAAGAAAACCAACAGCTTGGAAGCAACACTCTATTTACAATAAACAAGTAACAAGTTACTTGCTTGTTCTGTTTGGTTTGGTTTGTTTTTTATTTGCAATAAGTGAGTTACGTTATGAAGGACAATAATTTTACTTCTTCTACGGAGTTAACTAGGGCTACGTATTGGCTTTGGCTGAATACTGAATACCAGGCCAAACGGGGACTCTTTGCAATGACCCAAACATGCCCTGGACCGAGGTGAACAGCCTTGGTCCTGTTCTGGAGCAGATCGGGATCATCCCAGGTCACACGCAGGACCAAAAATAGTCTGCAAAGTGTTAAAATTGGGTCAAGGTGCAGTAAAAAGCAGGGAAAGGGGAACGGAAAGTCAAAATGCCATATATGGGGGATATGGACAAGCCGGGAGGTGCTGACTGACAGATTCAACTCTAATGAAAATAAAGAACCTCTCTTGCCTTCCCCATTCACTGAAATAGTGGGGAGGGTTATCACACAGTCTTGTACACCACCTCAGTTCATTCCTAACCCAAACCAGATTAGGGCAGGTGCTGCACTGGCTAAATTTTATCTAGGACGGCAAGTACGTGAGTTATAACACAGTCTTGTACACCACCTCAAACCAGATTAGGGCAGGTGCTGCACTGACTAAATTTTATCTAGGACGGCAAGTACGTGAGACTGCAGCTGGTGCCCGATTTTCCTGCCTGGGCTTTACTAGGCATTGGTCAGATTTGGGATTGTAGGATCACAGCCTTCCTCTCCCTCCATTTCCCTTTTGGGCTTCAAGGTTTCCATCGTCACGTTGCCACACGCCATGTTTTCAGCTGCCATCTTCTACCAATACACAGAAAAAACCTCCCCCCACAACTCTCCAACCTAACCTCTAGTATAAAGGCTACCCATGGAGAACGGATCAGCGAACAATAGCAGATGAAAACGAAAAGAAAAATGAAGATGGTAAATTTTTGGGGGTTGTGCCACTAAGTCACTTCTGACTTACGCCAACTCTATGGACGAGTGACCTCCGAAAGGTCCCACCGTTTACAGACCTGTTTAGGTCTCACGTGCTTGAGTCCATGGCTTCCATTACAGAGTCTATATATCTCACGTTTGGTCTTCCTCACTTCCTACTGCCACACACTTTCCCCAGCGCGTGCCTGTTTTTTCTCGTCAGAGTCATCTTCTTAAGAAACGCGAACAGTACGAGAACATTTTCAATTCTACAGAGAGTTGACCTCCAGAGACACATCCTGCCTTTTCTTGCACACAGTAAGATCGTGTGCTTCTTCTCCCATGATATCGACTAAACCTCACGGGATAAATGAATCCAGCGTTTCTTGGGTTACCGCCCTGAATGCAATACCCTGGAGCAAAGGTACTTTCCCGAAATCCAGACTGGTTGCCCCACAAAAGACTCAATGCAAACAAACAAAAGGCACACAGTTTCAAAGACGAAACACTCAGAGGCACCAAATAACTATTTCTTTAAAAATGATGTGTTTTGGCCCAAGTTATCTACTGTCCCTTTATGGCAATTTAAAACATCTTCCTTGTTTTATCCATGGAAGACAAACCAGGGATTTCTAAAGTTACTGGGTGGTTTTTTTTTTTTTTGGACAACCACTAGCCGGGGTGGGGTGGGGTGGCATCCAGGTTGTCTAACTTTCTGAAAGTCTAAATTCAGCATGAGGGTAGTTTATTTCGACATCTAATCAAACCCAAAGAGAAGAAATTTAAACACAGCATGGCCGCTGGGGACAGAATCCCTCTCCTAATGGCAGCCCAGAATCATAAGTTGCGATGGGAGAGAATTTGGCGGGTCCCGACTCGTTCTGCCTGTTCGGGGCCCCCGTCTCCTTCATCCGTAGATTCAGGAAGCCGTGAGTCTTTCCTGCTCTGCTTAAGCTCACTGAGTATACTAGATTCCCACAGTTAGCAGAAAGAGCTCGGTGCATTAATCACCGTACAGCAGGACTGCCCTATCTGCGGGATCAATATCCGTGGTTTCACTTATCCGCTGCTTGAGAATATGTATGTTTCCAAGGTGTATTACCAAAATAGACCTCTAGAGCAAACCAGAGATTATGCTATACAGTATACCTGTACCTGTACCTTTGGGGGCAGGTGGTTTAGAACCAATCCCCCACAGAGACCACAGTCTATAGGGTGAGACCCCAGGGGATACCCCACCACCACAATCGCCAGGGATCAGCCATGTGACTTGCAGACTAAACCACCCCCCTCCCGGTGTAGGAAACCTCCAAAACAGCCACAGAAAAGCCAGAAAGATTTCCTCTTTATATAAAAACAAAAGCGTAGGAAAGAGAGAAGGTGATCGCGATACACTGAGCTAGGAAAGCACCGATGTGCGCAGAAGCGGCTTGGATGAGGCGAGAAGAGGAGGATGGTGTCAGCTGGAACCCTGGCCCTTCCTTCCATGATCAGGCGAAAATCCAGGCTGAGAAAAGGCTTCGCCTTCATTCATTTCCGGCATGGAAAACGACTCCCATGCGGAGAGGAAAGGGGGCCAAGCAGGGCAAACCCACCAAGGTGCAAAGGTCTCAAACGCACACTTACACGACAGGCTAGGAAGCAGCCGCCGGCTCGGGCTTCCCAGGGCTTGCACACCGTGTAAAAGCCCATGCCATGACTGACACGTCCGGTTTGTGTTTTTCCTGATACAGGAGGCCCTCCCTCCTGCATCGGAAAAAGGCAAAGCTCATAAAATGTAAGGGGGAAGCTTTTCGAAACGTCCTGCATTTCAGATTCACTTGCCCCCCTACATACTGGTCTCCACTGGTCGTTTATAATCACTTAACAACATTCCTTTTAATTTTTTAAAGGCGCTTATCCACCACAGGGTTGTTTGTCTGGGACTTCCCAGAGTCTTGGGCTAAAAAGAATCTTTTTTTTTTAAACAACCTTTAACTGAGCCCAGAAGCTTCTGCACACAGCTAAAGCCCTCTGGTGTATTATTGGTGTTTTGAATTCTATACTGTCTTGCAACAATTAAAGCACTCTCTGCGTAATTTAATTACGCAGGCTACACATTGCCCCCCAGCCCCAGTGAGATGGATGCTCATTTTACCGACCCTCAGAAGGATGGAAGGCTGAGCCGACCCTGAACCGGCTACCCGAGGCTGTATGGATCGAACTCAGATCGTGAGCAGAGGTTTGGCTGCAGTTTAACCACCAAGGCATTCCTGCAAGGATCCTATCAACGACTACATTTGTAGTCACTGCTTAGCGTTCTGGTCTAAATGGCCGTTTTAACATCTTGCCCGGCTGGAACGCTTTCTGACGGCAAAAGATCAACCAGTGTCTAAATGGGCAAATGCACTCTTTCCAGAATCCTGAACCCAATCAGAACCCAATGAGGGGTTCTGATTGGGACAACATCCCCCAAATGAGGGACAACATCCCGGGCCACAATGGCTGCAAGTGGCAGATTCCATCTCTTTGAGATGCCATCACAAAATGAAATCCCCCTGCATGTGCTGGCATCACACCAACGGAAGGGGCCTCAAAGATATTCTAGCTCAAACCCTGCTTGGCGTAGGGCTGGTGACGGAGAGCCCTGCTGCAGCATCAACCCCAGCCGGCCATCTAGCTGAGATCCTGCCGAAATTCTCCTGAAGAAACAGCCAGTGAGTATAGTTGTGCCCCACTGGACGATTACCCCATTTAACGATGAATCTGCTTAACGTTGATGTTTTTGCAATCGCAAAATAATAGTTTAAATGGGTTTTTTTCACTGTGCGATGATCAGTTCCCTGCTTCGGGAAACGATTTTCACTTCACGATGATCAGCAAATAGCTGATCGTCGGGTTTCAAAATGGCCGCCGGCTGAAGAAAATGCCCCCCCCCCGCTGTTTTTAGGACTGATTTTTTGCACTACAAGCACTAAAAATGGCCACCCCTATGGAAGATATTCGCTGGACGAGCAGGTATTCAGCCCACTGGAACACACTGAATGGTTTTCAACGCGTTCCAATGGGGTTTTTAAATTTTGTCTGATGACGTTTTCGCTCTACAGCGATTTCGCTGGAACGAATTAACGTCGTCAAGCGAGTCACCACTGTATTTAGGGATGGGACACCACGTTTAGGGTGAAAAGGATCCAGTGCCAGAATCCTGTTGCAGAAAAGAAACCCATGCGCGGCAGGGTAACCCGCACAGGTCATCAGAACTCCGACAGAAGATCTGCTGTGAGGCCAGTTGTGCAACCCATTCGAGGGTGCAAAGGACTTGTGCAAAACTCCGTGCGTGGAGTTCTTCAAGCAGGTTCTGGCCATGGTGTCCCCCGTCAAAGGGATCTGGAAGATGACCACGGGAGAGCCCCTTGGCTCGGCTTGAGACTCCAAAGAGCAATAAAGACCAGTAAGGAGACTCCAGAATTCTGAGCCTGCTGAGCAGATGGTTTGTCCTGATTTAGCTTCATAGTCCCGAAAGACTTCCCGCGCCAGACGAAGGAGTGTCAGTCAAGGTATGGGAGTTTCACGTAACTGCTTTAAAGGCAGAGCTTGGAAAAGTTGTATTCTCGAAGGCTTTCATTGTGGGGATCCGATAGTGGTTGTAGGTTTTTCGGGCTGTTTGGCTCTGTTCCGAAGGTTGTTCTTCCTAATGTTTCTCTGTGGCCATGGGCATCTTCAGAGGACAGGAGTCAGAACTCTATGTTCTGGTGCGGTTTGTAGGATCATTGAGCGTTCTGGATTCAGCTACCCCACAACTGCACCAGAGCACAGACAGAGTCCTGTCTTCTGAAGATGCCGGCCACACAGACTGGCGAAATATTAGGAAGAAAATCCGGAACATGGCCAAACAGCCCGAAAAACCTACAACCTTGGAAAAGTTGTATTTCTGAATTGATTACAGCCTCTAGAATCCAGCTTCCACAGGAGACTCCGGGTGTCACAATCCAGAATGTTTACATTTCCAAGCTCTGCTTAAAAGCCACAGCAGAGAAAAGCCTCTTTACGGGCGATGCAGCCCCATCCGACAGCGACTAAAAGGAGGCTGGGGAGCAGGTGCGAAACAGGCCATTTATGGGGCTGGAGCAGAAGACACGAGCTCAGGCTGATTCTCTTAACACGCTAGAGGGATCTGTTGTGTCATTCTGGGGCCAAATTGGAGGCAATATTAAATGAGGATTTTCATCTAATATGGAGATTTCTAACTGGGCAATGGCATCTGCTGGTGAGCAAATATAAATAGGATCAGAGTAGCTACAGAGAAGATACTTTCTTTGTTTCATTTATTTATCTGCACACTTGCTTGTTTTATTTACTTTATTTATGCCCTGCCTTTATCCCAGGGAAGGGACTGAAGGCGGCATGCAATGGCTAAAAAACACAAATGTTTAAAATCCCAATACATTAAGCTATTACTATCAACCTATGATGAAACCTGAACAATGCATTGGAAGGAAATCCCACAGCTTGAAAAAGTTACTTCTTTGGATTGCAGCACTCAAAGCCCCCAGATTTCTAAACCCTGTAGTCAAAAAAAGAAAAAAAAAGAGGTAACCCTTTCAAGCTTCAGAATCTCATTTCTTCCCAATGTAAATACAGCAGGGCCCCCTTATCCACAGAATCAGTATCTGCTGATTCATGGTCTGAAAATATTAAAAATATTAGAAGAAAAATCCAAAACATATCTACGTTTTTAATGATGAAGTTAAAGGAACTGGCATGGTCTGAAAATATTTAAAAATATTATAAGAAAAATCCAAAACATATCTATGTTTTTAATGATGAAGTTAAAGGAACTGGCCACTAGAGGGCACCAGAGACCATGCTATGTACAATGTTCACTACTCAATAGCATTTACTATTATCCACGTTTTTCAGCATCCGTGGGTAGGCTTGGAACCAATTCCCCCATGGATACAGGGGTTCTGTGGTAGCCGCTTCAATTCCAAAGCGCTAGGGAGAATCTGGAAGGACCTTCCCTCTCCAAGCCTGCTCTGATCCTATTATTTATTGACCACTTCAGATGTAAACTTTGCTTGGAAAATATATATACTGTATATATAAAAGCTGCAGCAGTGTTTTTAAAAAAGGAAGGAAAATAAAAATAAAAATAAAGCAAAGACAAAAAAGTGGGATGAGGAAGGAGGCACTAGAAATTACCTGATTATGTGATAGCTGTAAAGATGCCGAAATGCAGCAGCAGAGAAGAAGAGAGAAAGAAAGAGAGAGAGAGAGGAAGAAGAGGGACATGCAACAAACGTCAGAGCAATAAGAGAAATCAGTGAGGCAAAGAGGGGTCCATGTTTTCCCCCCCCCTAACCCAACCATTTACGCTGAAGGGCAAGCTCCTGCTGCTTAGGTTGAGGGGTGGGCAACTACGGCCCTCCGGAAATTTTCTGACCGACTAAGCTCCTAACCAGCTTAGTTAATAAATAAATAAAATAAAATAAAATCTGGAGGTCATGACTGGCCCAGCCCTGATTGAAAGCCTTTCGCCCTAAAATCGCCCGTCTAAATTTTGCTCAGAAGGGGGTACGAAAGGATTTCCTTATGCAATTCACATGAATTTAAAAACTGACCCTGATGACCTGCAAGTTAAAAAACCAGTTGGTACTCTCTCTCTCTATTTTTTTCAAATAAAAGCTTTAAATATACAGAGGTACCTCCGTTTACGAATGTAATTCTTTCTCCGGGACGTTTCGTATTGCAAAAAGTTCGCAAACCGAAATGCGGTTTCCCATAGGAACACTTGCATGGGGGCGGCACTATAAACCTCCCAGGAGCAAGGCATCCTGGGGAGGAAACTTGCTTCGTATTGCAAAAAAATATCGTAAACCGAGGCATCGTTTTCAATGGATTTTCCTTCGTAAACCGAAAATCACGTTCGCCGAGGCGTTCGTAAACCGAGATGTGGAGGTGCGAATATTCTTCCTATCTTTAGTTCTTTTGCCTAGGGATAACAGGACATGCCTGTCCTGCCAGGGAGGGGTCTATCCTTCATGCCCCTCTGCTAACATAAGGATCCTGGGTCACGTAGAAAGGGACAGAGGAACAGAGAAATGGCGTGGCACAGTAGTTAGTGGCCTGGGAGTGGCACGTGGGAGATTTCAGTTTGCTCCCCTTTGAGCTGTGAAGTTTACTGGATTGTGTCT